TATTGAACTTTATTTCTATATAGCATGTCTTTACAACGGCGATTAGTTTTATTGATTAAAAAAACAAACTTACTTTACTCAATTTTGTTTTCTGCTTGCTTGTCGTCTTAACTAAGTTGTTTTCTTACCATTAAATGAAGAAATGCCTGGTAACTTGAGTTTGTTTGTTGTGTAGGCTTTTCTAATTACGTATGAGCTGCTTTTATCGGTGAATAACCTAATCAAACTTTTATTCATTTTATTTTATTTACAATCATTGGTTGATTGATAAATAGATGTTTTTCAGCACATTAATGTTATTTGAAGATCATGGATAGGGGTGAATAGCTTATGTTGGATCGAGGTTCAAACTTCTATCATAAGAAATAATGGAAAAACTTGTCTCTATTTACTGCGGACTACGCTGTAATTTTGTATACATTTACCTTAAAAATTTGTCCATACCATGAAAAAACTAAATTATATGTATCTGTTTTGAAACTGGTTTTATTAACTGTTCAAATTAATGAATAATTCAAGTTGTCAGCGTTTTTTAAAATTAAATTAATAGTTTAATCGTATATAGAGAAGAATGATAACATTTCAAAAGTGAGTAATTATACATCTACTTATTTAATTATAGGTAAAATTACTTAAATTTTATCAAATACAATAGCATTTAATCAGCACGGATTGTAATGAAAGTAATCAATCCTTTATATAAATTCCGATGCTACAATAAATTGTCGTAGCATTAGAATTAACATAGAGGATATAAAGATAGATTTATAAAATAAGACATAGTGCTTATATTAATATTTAAGCTATAAGAATAAAGCGAAAAAAATTGTTATAATTTCATTGAATTTTTATAGCAAGATATAGTGGAACCTAGCTTAACGAGCATAATTCGTTGCAAAATCTTACTCGTAATGCGAAACACTCGTTAAGCAAAACAGTTTTTCCCATATAAATTAATGTAAAATACGATAATGCGTTCCATGCCGAAAAAAATACTCAAATATTTTATGTACAGTATAACGTTTATTCAAAGAAAATTATACAATATACATTGTTAAGGACCCTAAATCATCATCATCTAGCGCGGAATGAACCAATCTGGAATGCGAATTCGATTTGCAGAAAACAAAAAAAATCACAATGTCTGATAAACAGGCCAAATTATATGCCAAATTCTTGGGCTATGTAAAGGCCATAATTAAATATTAATTAATTTGCCTAGAATTGGTAGGCAGTTATGTTGCCATTTTGTATTAAATTTAATAATTATAAGTAAATAATATTTAATTTAGATATTTTTAAATTTTTTTTTTAATTTTCCGTCCTGTGGGCACTAAGGGGCCTATTTTTGCAAGCCCATTATGAGTTCGGCCAGGTCCCAATGAGGCGGCCGGGAGGTGAGGGACGGACCAACTCCCGAAAATTTCCTGAGGATTATTTGACCCGTTTGGATTCGATTCCGGGTCCTCCCAGAGCGGTGGGCTGACACCTTGACCACTCGGCCATCCGGCCTTTTCTAAAATTTAATCTGGAATTGGTCATTAAATTTAATACGAGATGGCAGCATAACTGCCATCTCGTATTAAATTATCGTACCTCTAGTCAAATTAATTAATTTCTAATATTAAGCTTCAAAGAGGGTGAACAAAACCGTGTTCCCCACACATTAACGGCCATACATACAGGGAAAAAAATCCCGAAGTTTTGCATTTTTCGCCGTTTCAAGATTCCCTGGATCTTGGAAGGAAGCCATATTATCCCCCTGTTATATACAGTATAACAGCCGGAAAGTTAAAAATGAAAAGCCAAAATAAAAAAGTGCTTCCGATACAATAAGTTTATTTTTTACTAGGGACTTTGGTTTTTAAGGTACTTTGAGGAATATAATGCCCTATTTGTTTTGACTATGCTCCATTTTGGCCTATTTCCTATTTGTAAGAGCATGACAATTACTTTTTTATGGCAATTACTTCGTCTATTAAGAGCGGGCTTGATCCTGAGGGATCGACCAAGCTAGACAAGAGATGAGAAACGAAGCTCGACCGTATTACTCCAAGGATTCGAACCCGGATTCCCTACGCGATAGGATAAGCACCAACAGCTGACTTACAAAAAGCTTAAATAAATGGAAGAAAACAATGTACAGTAACGTATCAAAAAGAACTTTCCCGATCTTGAGCATAGAATATTTAATAGTTTCAAATTTCTAATGGTATTTTTCTCTTTATTCGTAGCTTTTTCTTTAACCAAACCGATGACGTGCCAGATTCATCCACAATAATTATTCGATGTCGAATTATGAAAGTTTTAAGGTGAATTTAGTGCCTCTTATCTGCTACGTTTGATTTTGCCGAAGTGAATTGCTGTATATTTTAATTCGACTTGGATTAGTTAAAAAGATATATTGCTGTGAATATTTTAATTAAAAGTTTCGTTTAGATTTTGTGTTTTGAAAAAGGTTTAAGAGATATAACCTCAAAGTGTTTAGTAAAGATTTTATTATAGTTACGCAGCTTTGAAATCTACAGCGGTGATGCTTAATCTTTTATAAAACGAAAATTCCACGTGCTGTTTAATATCTAGAATATCTCCCAATATCCTTAACATAAATCCTAGTGAGAGTGTACGATTTGAATTCGAGAATAAGGCTAAGACTCATTGTAAATGTCGTGTAATTTCAGATAAGTTATTTGTCTAATTAAGAAATATTGGATGGAAATATGCAGAATGCTTACAAATAGTTAACTTTGTCTTTGCTTAAACAAATTAAAAGGTAATTTGTACAACGAAGATAAGAAGCAGTATTAATCCCTTGTGATAAATCTTTTATTTCTGTAAATTACTTTGATTAAATACTTTCGACTTCAGCAAAATTTCATTTTGTTCTGTAATTACACAAATTATAACTTACAAAAAGAAATTAAACGTTATATGTATTTTATTTTATTAATTTGGATAGTTCAATTTTATAATTGAAAAATGAAAGTTAAATAAGTCATATACTGTATACTAGTTAAAAATTTAGTCATTTTAGCCTACTATTGTTATGTTAATTACGAACTGTCGAGAGGATGAAATCGGAGAGAAATGGGTGTTCATGTTTCATAGTGGTCTGTATTTTCCGCAGGGCCCTACAATAGGATGACCATCCGTTCCCGATTTCCTGGGCGTCCCCGTTTTTGACCGTCTGTCCCTGGCAAGGAAGGGAGTCGTGCTCCCATTTTTTCATTTCCTTGTAGTTACTGTAATATTGTCGCTTCGAGTTTTTCCGCCAGAAGACGTGTCCATTTCTTCAGAGTTGCCAAGTAATTTTTTATGAAGTAACCAATTTTTTGAGAAAATGCCAAAAAGGAAACAAATTTTAAAACCGTCCCTCACCCATTCTGGGCCTGGCCGAGCCCGTAACGGGCTCGCTAAAAGAAGCCCTCTTAGTGCCCATGGGCGGAAAGAGTTTTAAAAAAAAAGTTGTTATACATGTAGGCTGTTACTGTGTACCCTAAAAGTGAAGATTAAAATGTGTCTCATCGACGAAAAAAAGGCACTGTGATTAAAAATAATCTTATTCCTCTTTAATATGAAACTTGAGGATCAAAGAGTTTTGAAAATTAATATAATTTTCAATAATTAAAATATCATTTATATCCTATTAATGGAATATTGATTAAGCGAAAGTAAAAACTTCGTCAGATCCCATATCATTTTTCAGTGGAGTCTACCAGTGGCAGAATGAACAATTGTAGTCGGTCGAGAGTAGTTTCTCCCCGACGGACTGGCCGCTGGACTTTTCCGTTTCACGTGGATAACACCTATATATGGATCAGTTTCCGTAGAAACTTCCCAAAAGGCACCTCTTTGGCAAATTGCCCATGTACTGCGTGCCTTATCCCAGGGCTTCTTAAACTTTTTTATTCACGACCCCATTTATGATTGTGAATTTTTCGCGACCCCAAAAAAATATAAAATAAAGATATATGCAAATTTGCAAAAACAATAATGGTGTACTACCACAGTTCACTCTTGTGTTACAATGGAAATGAGACAACTGAATACACTGAAAAGTGACAACACTACACTAGTTCACACTACAATCAGTGTTGTTGAATCGTCGTCTCGCTGCACCAGAAGTGACACAAAGCGCAACTCACGAAACCTATGATACAAAGCGTGCCATTTTCAAACTCTCACAAATTATTTTCAATATTTTGCATTAAAATCTCGCGACCCCAAGATTTCGCTAAGCGACCCCAAATGGGGTCACGACCCATAGTTTAAGAAGCCCTGCGGCTTATCCCATCAATCCATCCATCTTTCAGTGGATACAGTCGTTAATGTTACTACTACTGTACGCTAGTTCATAGTTATGCGCAGATAACAAGCATTTTGCTGCTTTTACTAGCTAAATTCAGTGGGATTGCTGAGTTTAGCTGTCCCACTGAGGATAGCTAAACTAGGCCCTCCTATAATGCAAACCCTAAGGACTTACTCCTCTGTTACTCCAGTATGTAAATGAAAGTATGAAACATACGGGTCAAAATACCTTTAATTTATGGACAATCTTGTTTATTTGTTAAATGTTATTACATGTTCTTACTGCTTGTTGATTTTCATCTTACTGTACGTTATTTGTGCGAAATTTATTACCGTACTTGTAATTAAATATAAATTATTATTTTATGATATACAGTATATATAATCATTGTTATTGTTTACATTATACTCGTACATATATAGGAGAGGGCATGGGAATATTTTTTACTTAGTGCCCTGGTCACACTTAATACAGTATTGATTGTAGCCTATATTTTTTCCTAGAGCACTAGAGAGTATGAAAAACTTGTGCAAATCAATCAAAGGGTTTAGAGAGTATAGGAAACAGACAAGCAGACATTCTATTTTATATATACAGTGTTGAGAGTTTTTTTGAATGGAAAATTATTTCTAGTGAGAAAACATTTATCATACGTATTTTCAACGATTCTTGACACATATATTTTTTTCAGATCTTAAAATACAGTCGGAAACTCACGATTCTGTCGAAGATGCCAAAACAGCTTTACAGTTATATAAGAAGTATCAACAACTGTATAACAAAGGAGAAATTCAAGAACGTTTAAAGGAACTTTACGAGATAGGAAGACTCTTACAATGGAAAGTACCTGGTACCAACGATTAACATTTGAAATTTAATAAATTTCACCTTAAAGACAGTTCTGCCTAGCAGAAAATTTAAAAAAGAAATACTTTTTTATTTACATTTAAGATATAAAGCACATATTGAAAAGAATGTAATAATAAAAAATAATTATTGGGGAAAAAATAAAATTTGGTAGATGAATAAGGAAAAATTGTCTTGTTTAACTCTTATTAAATCAAAAATTTAATTCGGGAAATCTGATCCATGGTAAAAGTTGCATCTCCAAGACTTTTATAGAAGTTAATCGACTTAATTAAGGTGATAGATGTTGGTCGAGTTTGATGGCTTCAAGTTTTAATCACGTTATTAACGTTTATTAACGTCAAATTAAACAAAATATTATTTTTATACACAATTTAATGCAAAATTACTTATTTTTTAACGTAGACAAAAGTTTCTCTTAATATAACATGACCATAACTAATTATGATGAAAAAGCATCCGATTATTACCTAAGATATCCATCTAATTATTATTAACTAGGATATTAGATTGTTACCTAAGGTTATTACATTTCGAATGACTAACCTAATAACCTTACTAAATTAATTCTTCCTTTTCAATAAAAATAGCATTATCAATTTAATAATCAGTCCAACATTTAACATAAAACCAAATACAGTCGACTTCACCTCCCGGCCACCTCTAAACGGCGGCCATTTTTTTAAACAGGCCATTCTTTTAGAAATGCGTACAAAATAACCTCCAGACAACGGACATTATGTTCCTGTCAATGGCGTTGTTCACGGGTTTGACTGTACTACTAAGTTACTCAATATTGCGACAACGTGCAACTTATTAAACGATATCAAAAATTGCGTTTTCAGGTGAACGTTCTTCGATTTAACGCTTTAAATAATATAAAAACGATATATTTTAAATAATTATATATTTATTATATTAATTAACATAAGATTGTGAAAGGAAAGATGAAGGAAGAATGCGGATACGTGCTGTACTTCTTGGAAACTTGAAAGATAATTTACGTGAAGTTCAGTGACAATCGATTTTGTATATTTCACCTTTTGCAACAATTATTTCCAAATCATTTGATAAAGATGTAGACTATAAAATTTCATTTTTATCAACTGATAATTCAAAAATGTTCGATAAGAAGCGAGTAATTTTTTTAAAAATATTATCTGACTGCAGCACGAAATATAATATTCGTGTAAAATAATTCTAGCAGCTAGACTTATCTTAGGCTTCGTCCATTACGTGTACAGTTTAAGGGGGGAGGTCGCGAAAAATATATCATTGTAAACGATAGAGAGTGAGGAGGATCGAGGTATTGCCTACGTAGACTTTTTTTTTAACATTAGTGACAGGAATTCGTTCTTATAAGCCTACTTACTAGTCAAGTGACTTTCAGAAAATATTTACAGAAATTTTTCATTTTTTCAATGTCGGGATCAGTAAACTATTGTACTGTACACGCAATTAAAGAGGAGAAGGAGATTTGCCAAAATACACAATGGGAGGGGATCAAAAGTGGCTGAAAAACTACACGTAATTAATAGACCGGTCCTTATACGAGCTGCAAATATTATCCTCACTAATTTGCAGCTAACTTTGCTAATATTCCAGTAGCAGAGTGTTGAAGTAAGAGAACAACGATCGAAATTTCCTACATCCAATCAGTGAATAATTCATGTCAAGTTCGTGCACGAGTCACACCCAAATATATTGAATAACAATCGTGATGAAAAAATTAGAATACAAGGTCAATAAAGCTATTAAGTAGATTTTTTCCTATCTTATTAATAAATAATAAACGTTTCAGGAATTTGTGAAGAGCGGGAGCCATTTATAGTTTGTTTGATTGTAAGCTAAAGTAAATATTTTTATGGAATTTTTAACGACTTTTTCCAAGTATGTTAAACCTACTCCTTTTCTAAATTCGATTCATTTTGTTAAAGAAATTAAAATATTTCGAGTCGAAACGTTTTCGAGCATTTACGGACGTGTGTTACGCAGCAACACGTAAGAAATAAAGAACCGAATTGGCGATAGCAGCGCTATTAGCGAGTATAAATAAAACTAAAGCGGTATTTTCAATCAAGAATTAGAGAAGCGTGCATGGAGGTAAGTTCGTCTCTTCCGTATATTTACAACTATTTTTCAAATATTTAAACACGTTAAATTGTTGTTTTTAGATTAATAGTGGCAAAAATTACTCCTAACAGGCCCTATATATTTTTTTTCGTCTTTTTTTTTAGAGTTTACAGTTTGTTCTAAACATTTTAAACGTTTTGCATTTAATTAACTAGTAAAACAATATAAATGACGCTTAAATTATATATTATTTTATATATAAAAATGTTAAACTATGTATTAAAATCAAGTTTAGAATGTAAGAAGTTTTCCTGTTTCATCAGAAGAAACTGGAAATGGTTTCTAACTTCCATTTCCTTCCATACATTGATGCTCTTCTTAGAAATAATATAACACAAAGCAAATTCAATATAACTGACAGTCGACATTTTTCCAGTTCTACTATACTGACGCTTTTTTTATCGCTAGTAATTGTTTAATTACTCAGATAATTCTCCGTTGACATAACGATAAAGTTAAGAGTGTGTTCTACTTTCTGGTATGTTTAATTATCATATTTTTGAAGGTAAACCGGTTCAAAATGCGCCAAATTTTACGGCATGGAGTGATAAATTCGCTTTTAATTAGTAGAGTTGTAAAGTTCGATATAATCTCTTTAACAATTTCAAACCAATTTTAACTTTTGTTTCTATGTATACGCTTAATTTTCTCATTTTACAATAAACTTAATCATTTCCTGCATGTTTACTTCCTTGAATAAAATGGAAAAATCCATTACGAATATTATGAAATAGATTTTGCTGAATGAAAGGGGGTTTTAAATTTAGGCAGAAGATATTGATTAGTTCTTTAGTAATTATGGAATTTTATATAGAGAGTAATTTTTATTAATCATTGTCTATTAATTTTTAGGTTAATGAATTATCTGTAGCTGTGTATCATCAGGAAGATTTGCTTCCTCTTTAAAAAGGAAGCATGGTACAATGATAAAACTTCCAGTATACTGAAAATTTAAAAAAAAATCAATAATTCAGGTCACGCATTTAAAATTAACAAGAAAATAATGTATGTATATTTCTATTGTATTTAAAATATTGTATAAACTTAATTATTGATAATTATTTAGTCTCGTCGCTATCGCGTGACAGTCGCGTCGCTTCACATGTAGGCTATACTATAATACATTATTTAAATTTTAAGAGTTCACGCAGTATTAACGATATATTTACTTTAGAAATTTTTTTAAATATGCAAATTTCTATATTTCAAAGCTTATTTTAATGGAAATAATTAATTTTAAGTACTGTAAATAGCGACGATTATAATTTGAATGCGACGCGATGCCGCCGCGGCTCGCAACGCTATTTATCTATTAAATCATTACTAAAGTGGAATGCGTTAATGGAATTTACATTATTAATACAGGTTAAATTTGTGAAAATGGCGTCGCTTCGTGCAGAGAAATTAAATTTTACGTTTTATTTTTATAACTAACGCAATGTAAATGATCTAAAAAACAAATTTATATTAACATAATTAAGATTAATATAATAGGTGCTTTACAAAGATAAATCAGACAGCTCATTGCGCGTTGCGAGATAACGAAAGCGAAGCGACGCGACCGTCGGCGCGTAGATACCCAATACACTAATTATCCAAAATGGAATATAGTAATGAAATTTGCATTATTTAATGCGGAATTAAATATCAAGTAATGGATAAAGGAACGATTTTATCTACGGAAAACTCTATACTTTTTACATATCTTGAAATGTTAATTAATTTAGGTAAAGCAAAAGTTTTACTTTTCCATAATGCAGTCTAACCTCCAGCAACGTCCAATTCTAAATGCAGCCAATTTTTCAGGAACATTTCTTTTTCAAATGCATACAAAAATCTCCAAACAACGGCCATTTTTTATTTTTATTTTTTTATCACTGGCCGTTGTTCAGAGGTTTTACTGTATACAAGGATACAGAGGTTGAAAGCACCTCCTAGTTAAAACAAAAAATGTATCAAAGAGAGGAAAATAAATAGAATATAATAGGAATTTTATTTTATTTATAAATGTACAAAGCAATCTTTATCGGCTTGCAAAGTTTCGTTAATTTTGCTTAACTAATACGGCAATAATTAATTTCAATCACTTCATTCAATTAATCCATTGTAAAAATCTCTGAAACAAATCCTGTCGGCACTATTGACTGTATATTAGAATTATGTAACGAATCAAGTTTAAAAAAAATTAAAATAATAAATTATATTTGCTATATGAAAGAATATCATTTATTGAAAAGTGTACGGCAAGGTTAGCTTAAGCAATTAGAAATGCTGTTCTAAACTCTCAAAATAGTATTTATTTATTTATCGTTTCAAAAAACGTAAAAAAATATCCAGATAATTATAAACACTTCTATCATTTGAAAACTTCCATCTGGAATTCATAACACGATGTGACATCTAACGTTCATTCGTTTTGTTCGAATAATACACTAATACATCAATTTGACGTCATTCTTACAATTTTCTTATGAGAAAATGTGATAATGACGTCAATTTGGCGTAAAAATGTACACTAGGCAAAACGAATGTTGTTTACTATTCACTGAATTAACCTTTTCTAATAATGCACTTGCAACACATTATTATCTTAATTACCTTATACATTGCACGAATTAGTAGATAATTTGAGAAACTTAACTTTTTCTCCCACAAGATAAATATTTGTAGAGATGTCAGTCAAACCTCTTTGTTTTCAATATTGCCTTTAATAATGTGTACTTAAGATTATGTATTTAACTCTTCTATTATAAATGAATTAACTGATTTTGTTCTTGAATCATTTATTTTTTAAAAATAATAATTATTGACTTAAATCGTTTAAATGTTATTATTAATTTAAACATATCACAATTTTAAATATTTAAAACGATGCAATAACTTCGGTAAAGAAGAAGAAATCGGATTTCGTTTCCCAACTTCTTCAGAATGTTTGAAATTTACAAAAAGTTATGCAATTAATTTTAGAAATTTTCTTAAATATGGTTATGCACAATCTGACTATTAGAGAATTTCGAATAGTTATCACTTAGTTATTATAATATAAAACTATTGAACACTGGTAGTTGATAGCGGGTTCGGGCCTGATCAACAGGCTGGCCACGTGGAGTTTCCCGGGTTTTCTTCAGGTGTCTAACACCTAAATAGGAATAAAAAGTTCTCCCAGGAAGCACTACTCCCTTGACAGATCGCGTATGTGTTGCATTGCTTTATCCCATCAATCCTATTTATGATAATAACTTTTAAATGTTTTTCCCAGCGAAATAAGTTTTGATAAAATAGGGAAGAAAATAATTCATTTTCATTAACAATTTATCAATATTTCTGGATTGTGGAAGATTGAATTGTTATTGATGGGATAGGACAGTGAAACACATTAACTATCTGCCTGGAATGATTCCTTCCGGAAAGACTTTCCTAAAGGAAACGGGTCCCTATTTAGGTGCTAGACACGTGGAGAAAACCCGAAAAACTCCATGTGCCAATTTGTTGATCAGGCGCGAACCAACGACTACTCTACACCCCGGTGGAATTGTGAAAGATAAAGACTGCGTTGAATTTTTATTCTGAAAGTTGATGCAATGCTGATTGTTAATTCTGATAGTTGTAGATCTAATTATAGTCGACATTATGCAAGTTCAAATTACTTAAATTTATGTGTAAAGTATAAAAACATAGTCTACTATTCCGATCTTATATGATGCAATTGATAAATGAAAAGATATAATTACCAAAACACCGACCATTGATTTAACTGATAAGTTATAAGTGCTGTATTAATTAAATTATTAGCATAAAGAAGTATAGATAAATACTTTTACTGTTTTTTCATACCAGACAGATAACAATAAAACAATACAGTATAATCTATTCAGTACATATTTACCAATAAATAAATACGTTTTATTTACAGTAATTCATAAAAATATTTATTTTCGAATTTTAAAAGTCAAACATATATCAAAATATATGATGATATAGCAATAAAGTTATATTATCATATAGAATCTAATTCTTCTTCCTTAATATAGATTCGCTTAATTCTTGGAACAGAATATAACATTAACATACATATATATTTTAATTTTGATGGTTAATTTCCTAATAAACAAATAACACCAATGCATTTATTCCATTATTAACTTAGTAAATAAGATAGAGGTCTCATTATGGTCCACCAATTCCCCCCAGAAATGACTACGTTATCATCTAGACTAGGTGACAGTTTAATAATTTCAAAATAACAGTTCAAACTTGGTGGGCCATAATGAGACCCGTACCTTATAATAACATTATTTTTCAAGTTGTTTAGCAGACGCGATCAAGGAAGAAAGAAGCATTTACTTTTTTCTTTAATGTTTGATAACTGAGATATCGATTGTATTTTCCATTTAAATTCTCATTTTTTCAGGTAAATACGAAAATTCATATTTTCCGAAAAAAAAGACATCAACATGAAAAATACATCGTTACATCTAGATTGGACTGATTCTAACTCTACTTTTATGCACCATGGTTTTCCTGTGATTGTACCGTTATCGATCGTCATGGTAATCATCATTATATTAGCAATAGGTGGAAATATCATGGTTATTCTCACAATCTGCAGGCATCGAGGGATGAGGACTAGAACTAACATTTTCATTGTCAATTTAGCAGCGGCCGATATCCTTATTGCTGTTTTCAATATGCCTTTATCGTTGGTCACTCTTATAAGTGGCGATTGGGTGTTCGGTAAAGGCATGTGTCTATTCAATGGCTTTACCATGGCTCTTTTTCTCATTTGTTCCATTCACACTTTGATGTATATCAGTATACATAAATATATATCCATCACAAAGCCATTCAGTCGAGCAATGAATCCTCGAAGAATTAAGATAATGATTGCGGCTACATGGATCTGGTCATGTATCTGTGCCACAGCGCCTCTATTGGGGTTGAATCGCATAATTTACAAGAAAGGTTCATCCCAGTGTGGGCCCAGTTATCCAGATGACGTCGGCGATTATGCTCATTCTTTCATCATTACCACAACCAATTATATAATTCCATTAGGAGTCATGACTTTTTGTTATTTTCATATATTTCGTGAAATCCACGAACATATGAAGAGAATCCGAGAAACATCTAATATTAACTTGGAGAGTTCTGTTTCTCAACAGAAGAGGATATCAATCACCCTATTTTTTGTGTTAGCTTGCTTTTTAATATGCTGGACACCGTTTGTTTTGTATTCTACTTCTGTGGCCATCATGAAAAACAAATCAATGATGCCGCTCGTCATTAATCCTATAGTAAGTATAATACATTTTATATTCAATTTTCTGTATTTCGATTTATTACAGTTTTACAAAATCATCAAACTCACATAATATATTATAAAACGAGGAATGTGTTCTATAAAATCTGTAGGCTTCATCGGGTCCCTAGAATGGCAGGCTTCACCTACCGTTCTGGGGACCCGGGTTCGAATCCAGGCTAGCAACTCCTCGCTAATCTAATTCTTCATGAGCAATCTATCTTGGATATATCAGGTCCATCCCTCATCATTCGGCCGCTTCATTATGGGCCAAGCCCACGTTGGGCTTGATAAAAAGATCCTTAGTGCCCACAGGGAGTAGAGTCCAAAAGTGAACATAAATCTTGTAATGACCTGATATCGATAGAATTTTATTTCACATTTATTAAATAATTTTCAGCTCTTCAAATTTTTCTATGCTTCAGATTTGATAAGTATTTAAATGATCGCGACAATTCCCATTTCTTTTAATTCAGTGTTTCCTAACGTGGGGCCCACGCCCCGCAGGGGGGCAATTGGATTGTTATGGGGCAATTCGAAAATGGATTCATTCAGAGTTTAAGTTAACAGTATAGCCGCTGTATATGTTAGGAGGGACATAAGAATTTTAGGTGGGGCATAGCACAAAAAAGGTTGGGAAACACTGTTTTAATGTAATTCTTTTTCTACGAATAAATGTAATTTATTAAAACAAGAATAAAAATATAAAAAATATAACAAAAAAGAACAATACTTAATGCTTTTAAATTAGAAATTAAAAATACGTTATACAGAATATACAAGTATAATTGGATAAGCTAACAATACTTACTCCCTTGTGTTTCAAGCTATTGATCTCATTAGATTAACACTTACATTACACAAGTTGATCCAAGTTAATTAATATGTATAATGGTAACATGTTAATTTCTATTCACCGTATTCATTTGTATTATAAGCAACAGTTTCATGGTATGAGAATTCCTAGTTTGTATAATTTATTCAAATGAAAGTCCATTTTCATTAGTGTTTAAACCTATTATAAAAATTAATACTCAAATATTGTACTTTTTAATTTGAATAACAACGGAAACGCCTGAATTAGTTAATACTTTTTAATGATATTAAACAATTTGTGATGTTATTTAAACGTTTCTATTAAATATTAATGACTTTTTCTTTTACTATTTTGTACTTGTAGAAGTATATTTTCCCTGTTGAATTGCTGCGATTAATGAATTATTCATGCAAATATTCCCTGGTTCATTGATGTATAGGCTATATATATGCCTATATATACACTAATAGAATCAATCCAAAGTAATTTAAATGTATTGTTTACGACTATGTTTGAAAATCAACTCGATTAAAATTAACTTAAATAATCTACAATTAATTCTGTTTAACAATTTCAGGTTTATTGGTGCGGATACTTAAATTCTGCCTGTAATCCCATTATATATGCCTTCAGAAGTCCTTCATTCCGCCAAGGATATAAAGAAATAATGTGTGGCACTTATCAAGGTCCTATACTTAGTGCAGGTAGGGATTTTATTTTAAACACTCACATTTTCTAGCATAATGAAACTGAATGAAACTTATACCAAACAGGAAACTGTAAATTTATGATTTAATTAACTCTAATAGATATAAATTATGAGAAAATAGTTTACTATTCCATGAGGTTTACAACAACTCAAACCTTTTCAATCCTACAAGGAATAAAACCTGAACCTTTAACCTTAAAGTTCCATTTTTCTATTATTTATTCTGATATTTATTAAAGTTACGATATCTCTCGTGAAATTCTTACTAAATATGCACTATCATTACTTTCAATGTAACCCGAAAAGGGTTGAATTATCATCAAGCGAAAGCGTTTGCTAATTAATTAAAATATTTTATCACAAATACTTTCTATAAATGAGGAAATGAAACCAGTTTGCAGATTATATTTCTATCAATACTTTGTTTTTTGAAAAAAAATTTCCTTTTCAAGTAAATTTCTCTTTCATGATACAATTATCTAAAAATTTTATATCAAAATATTTAGGATTTTCCAATAGATTTAACTAGAAATTTTCCTATCTAGCAATTTCCTATAAAGGAATTTTCCATAAACTGAACGTTTACATACGTCCAATTTATATTCGTTAGACATTATATCTTAGAATCATTACTTTGAGTTAATTTCGAAGTTTGTTAAATCATAATTAATTTTCAGGAAATGATCCAAAAAAGTACAAAATTAGAAATTCATATAAATCAACAGATCCGAAAACCATTGCTAGAACTGACACATTGTAACTATACTCATTTCCTTTATTCCTGGAATTATAAAACGGAACAAGATTATAAAAAAAATGGGATTTCTTAGATGATGATTAGTTCTTAAAATTTTATCCTTTCATAGCAATTATGCAGTTTTAATAGATATAGATATTAATTAATAAAAATTAAATTAATTGGGAGAAATCAATTAATCAAATCTGTGCAATTACTCATTCTGTCCTTTATCAGTAATTGATTATTTTTGTTCTCTTTCTATAAAAAATTAACAGATAAAGAATTTATTATAAATATCTCATAATTATAGTTTTAAAAGTGTTCTTATATGCTGAATTTTCTTCTTATAAGCGAGATATCCATTCTGGTACTTAAAAAAAATTGAAGAATGAATCATTTTGAAAACGTTTTTCTTAAAGTTATTTATACGTTGTAAATTTTTATATTTAAAATCTAATTTTATACTTAAAAAGCTATGATTAGTTCATCGCCATTATAAACATTAGAAACCGTGAGAGACTACATCAATATTTGTTTTATCAGACTAAGAATGTTATTTCAATAATCTATATGTTTACTAATGCACGCAAGTTTCATTGATGGTATTAATATATACTGCTTCTTAGTTTATCAACGTTGAAATTAATAGCTTTCTAAATAATGTAGATTTTATAGAATAGCGTTAACTTTTCACGAAAATTTAATATTCTATCTAGATCAATGATACACTAAGTGTTCAGGAGTTTGTACATTTATGAATAGGATAAAATTATTTTAATAATATAAAATGATAGTCTACTATTTTGTAAACAAATTAAATATGTTCAAAACTAGAAATATTAAAGATAATTTTAAAAGGTTATTTTTAATTTTTTGGTGTCTCAAAATTGTTTTTATTATGATGTTCTGCGAAAATCAAATTTAATGAGAACAGTTTTGTAGATGATAAGCATTTGAATTCATTGAACTTTTAGAAGTCGTTTCGTAATTTATTTTTAAACTTATAACAACAAATAGTTAAATTTGTTTTAAATAATTTCATAAAGTAATTACGGCAATTAATTTCTAATACTTTTATAAAAGTTCAATTACGAAATGCAAAGCAATTGTTAGAAGCATTACGCGCAATGCTTAAAAATTAGAATTACAATTAATTGAAACGTTAAGTAAACAGTATAATGTTCAAAACTAAAAGAAAATCATATAAATTATATTAATTTTCTACATAAATATTTGTAATTTTAATATCTTATTTAAATGTAATATTCTGTAGTATTGCTTATATTTAATTATATTATTGTTAAAAACAATAAAGGAAATTTTAGTTTTTCTAACACTTCATACATGCATTTGTGAATATACTTGATGCCAAAAATATGTTATATTTATTATATAACATTTGAAACATACTTCTATATAACATACAATTATAATAATAATCAATCTTGTTAACTGGTGAATAGATTAAATTATAATAAGTCAAGCTTCAATAATATATTTCTGATTATATCAAGTTTTTATTACACATTTTTAAAAATAAATCACAGAACAGAATGAAAATCTGCAGAATTTTGGAAAATTAACATAACGATAATGTAAAAATATNTTTCTGATTATATCAAGTTTTTATTACACATTTTTAAAAATAAATCACAGAACAGAATGAAAATCTGCAGAATTTTGGAAAATTAACATAACGATAATGTAAAAATATTTTATTTCTCATTCAATCATTACACCAACCAAGGAAGAATATTAAATTATATCGATAATTAGTACTAATAATAATTTATTGCACATAGTAACAAGTTGCAAAACAAGAAGTTAATTAGAGAATATTTTAATAAATACAATCGCAAGCAGAGATTTTTTTAGTTTAATTAACCTTATAGAAACAATAGAGATTATCATTTTTGAAATCTCCATAGATTAAATGGAAATTAATTAAACAAGGTCAGAGCCATTCTTACTTTCAGTATGAATGCTATTTGTTCAATTAATAACAAAGAAGGATATATTATTGACGTCGTAAAATTCTTTTTATGAACTCTTAGAACAATGTGCAATAATTCCATATATTTCCATATGGTAGCCTACTAATAACTTTTGTCATTTTCATTAACAGGCATACTTATAGCAGTTATATCGTCTATTAATTAATGAAAATGGCAAAAGTTGATAGTATATTTAATTGTACAAGTAGGATATTAATATAGGATTGTTCAATTTTAAGAAAGACAATTAAATTTTATTATATATAATAATAATAAATTATGTAATGGTAATGAAATAAAACAGAGTATTACATGTATTAAGAAATGTTTCAAATCTGAAAATTGTTTAATACATCTATAATAATGTAAAAAAACTTGCAAAAACTTTAAATGTATTTGCAATAAATTTTTAAACTTTATTATTTTTTTATATTTTAATTTAAAAATTAAAAAATATTTTTTACATAATTTATATTATTTGTTTATTTATTTTTGAAGAAAAAATGAATGAAAAATATAGACATTTGACACACTAATTACTGTAACATACTTAAATGTTTTATTGTCGTTTAAATTATTTATGTAGTGATAATTATTACTTCATTAATAATTTACTCTAGTTAAAGTCAAAAATTAATTACGCAACTATAAACTTTTTAAAATCAAATAACAAAAGTCCTATTAATTTTGATCCTTTTAGATGCACGTAATGGAATTTTTCAAATTCGTCTCCAATTAAAGCAGCTCAAACATGCTCCTAACTTGCTTTGCCTTAAATAATTAAATGAATAATAATTTATTTATTGTGATAAATTTTTACAATTATTATTATTTTTTCGTTGTAATTCAATTAAAATTTCGTTGAAATTTTCTCAATATTTATTCTAAATAATTTCATATTTGCATTTGAAAAACATTCTAATAAGCTTTTAATTTTATAAATAATAGAATGATAAGTTCCTTTAGATACAAATGACAGTTGTATTTTATGTTAATTTTGTATTAATATTTTGGATTATTAAATATTAATATACGTGTCAACAAGTTACATAATTACATTAAATGATAAGGGAAAATAAACATTTAATTGTTTTCCTTCAATGAATCTTTTCATTGTTGTAATTATTTCTTATTATTTTAGCTTGAACAAACCTAAATTACAATTAAAGTATCTGTTATGTTAAATTACAATAAAGAAATTCAAATTGTATAAAAATAAGAATAAGAATATATTTTCATTCTTTTTATTGAGCCTCAACCTTAATTATTAGAAATTTGAACTTATGTAACATTCTGAAGAATAGCTGTTTATCTCAACAATAAATTTAATAGTTTTTTCATTCTTAACTCTTTTTGGTCTCTAGAAGAGGGCCTTCAGAGCGGTAGGATGACGCTTTAACCACTTTTATGCCATTTTTAATTGTATATTTACATCATAAAACAAAATTTTTACCGATCAGTTAGACGGATAGCCGCACCGTAGGTGTTCGATTTTTTAATTGAAGGATCCCGAATTGAATCCGGTCCAGATCTCAGGAAATATTCATAAATGAATCCGGTATATTCGTTCGTTTTCATACGTTAGTTTGTCGACCCCGTGACATGTTTAACCAACCGCAATGAATAAATTTCTACAATAGTATTCTAATACAAAAAAATAGGGGGAATAACCTTTAACATAAATATAATTTTTAAATTTAAAAAAAATCTATATCTTTCATATTTTCGTAATTATTTAAGGTTTGTTGTATGTAAACTATCAAAAATTATGATTTATAATCAATTATAATATGACTCGACGAAATATTTATTTTGTAATAATAAATTTTATTACATAACAACACTAAATTGCTGTGAAAAGTTGCATGGTAGGAAGAAACAGTATAAATAAATGTGTAATTTACGTATACATTTATAGTACATCGTTTATTAATAATGTTCGCAAGATTACTTGGTAGCATTCTGTTTTCCTGATTTTGGGTCAGAGGAGAATGATCTGGAATATGATTCATAGAACGTTCATTGATGACATAAAATTAAACAGACAACCGTCCGCTTATTTCATAATTTGCCAGACAACATCCGTATCGCGCTAAAAATTCTTCAACATAAAAATAAAAATAAAAATAAATGTCTGATCATCATTATTCAGTCGGTTCATTTATATTTTCTTAGGCCTCACCAGATTTTTATGCATAAATTTAGTGTTTGTTTTTGGAGAATATGTTTTCATAATTAAAAATAAATGGTTAGATAGTTAATTGATTAAGTTAAGAAATAAATATTTTTAAAAATTTATTATAGACTAATAAAATCTTTCAAGATAATTAATCTTAAGTAAATTATAATAAGTCAAGCTTCAATAATATATATTTTCTGATTATATCAAGTTTTTATTACACATTTTTAAAAATAAATCACAGAACAGAATGAAAATCTGCAGAATTTTGGAAAATTAACATAACGATAATGTAAAAATATTTTATTTCTCATTCAATCATTACACCAACCAAGGAAGAATATTAAATTATATCGATAATTAGTACTAATAATAATTTATTGCACATAGTAACAAGTTGCAAAACAAGAAGTTAATTAGAGAATATTTTAATAAATACAATCGCAAGCAGAGATTTTTTTAGTTTAATTAACCTTATAGAAACAATAGAGATTATCATTTTTGAAATCTCCATAGATTAAATGGAAATTAATTAAACAAGGTCAGAGCCATTCTTACTTTCAGTATGAATGCTATTTGTTCAATTAATAACAAAGAAGGATATATTATTGACGTCGTAAAATTCTTTTTATGAACTCTTAGAACAATGTGCAATAATTCCATATATTTCCATATGGTAGCCTACTAATAACTTTTGTCATTTTCATTAACAGGCATACTTATAGCAGTTATATCGTCTATTAATTAATGAAAATGGCAAAAGTTGATAGTATATTTAATTGTACAAGTAGGATATTAATATAGGATTGTTCAATTTTAAGANTGCAATAATTGAAAGCGAATGTGGACTTATAAATTAAAAAATTTTAATTACACATTTCTTTATCATATTAAAGAAAGATATAAACATTAATTTAACTAATTAATGTTCTATTTGGCGATTGTATATCTTACGGTCTCTCATCCACTTTACATACAATACGAAGAATTTTAATAAAGTAAAACATCTAACAAATAAAATTTTATACTCCATTACTAAATTGACTCTCTTAATACACGAGAGTAAAATATTCGATAATCTTTATGGTTAAGTGAAAAATACAATAAGCAACGTAGAACGTAGTCTGTTACGAAACATAAACGTTAAAGAAAGAACGATTAAAAATTTCATCATCGATAACTGCAGGATATTAGATTTTAATTATTTTTACGCATTTTATATAAACTTATTTTACATGTATTAGCCTACTTAGTATTTAAAGGAGAAAAATTTAATCTGAAAATTATTCTATCGCAATAATGGTACTTTATGTTCTTCGTTGAAATCTACCAAATTGTGCTCGATATTTAATTCACTCATAATTCTTTCGATTGGCACTTTGCGAAAATAAAATTTTAAATATCTTCCTCTAGAAACGGTGTAGTTGTACTTTAAAATATTCCCTTTTTTATTCACAGGAAGTTCCGTTCGTACGATGAGTTTCCGTTCACGTTCGTTACGAACTTCTAATAAATCTCATAGAACGTTTTCAGGTAAGTTTTCAACATTAATTTATTAGCTTCGTTCTCTGGAGAAAGTATACGTACTTTTTTCAATAGTGTAAATGATTCTTTTATCGATTTAAATAAATTACAAAAAGGTAAAATGTAATATTATAGAGTATTTGAGCACTTTTCTGAGAAAATAATTTTTAATAACTTTAATACTACAGACAGATTTACTTTGAGAAAATGGCGATCCAAGAAGAATAAAGATATTATACCAGCGAAAACGTTGCCAAACAGAAAACGTTTTCTGTCACAAACCTCGTGGATCAGTTTACCTTGTTTGCCAATGGGTTTGAAAAGAGTCATTACTACCAGCGTTAAAGAAAATAATGAAAAACGCAACAATCCACCGGAAAAATCACCAAATTTAGAAGAGGTTGTATCCAATAATCAACAGAAACTATCGCCAGTAGCAGAAAAAAGATTGTCAGTGTCGTGCCCTTCGTTAAAAGAAACAGAAAACAGAACACCAGTTCAAGAAAGTTCCGAAAATTGTACAGATGAAGACTTAAAAGAAGTCACACCGACGATAGGAAATGGCTCCGTTATAACGGAAAATACTGATGTGGAAATCAACATCTGTTCAGAGAGTACTTTTTAAACGTTTAATACCCGCATTCACAATCAAGAGTTTAGAGTTAGAAGTTAACCAATAAGTAAAACAAATAGCAATTGGATAACTTCTAACACAAGCTCTTGATCCTTGGTTGTGAATACGGCCTTTAAAATATTAATATTAAAATACAGGCACAAAAGGCAGTAATTTACAACAATTTTAGTAGTAAATGCTGTCATCTTTCTAGTCACGATATAAATAAAATTGATTTTAAACTGACATTGACGTACAACATGACAGAAACTCTTGTTATACTCTTTGTTGTTGAACTATTTTGAACGTGATCAGAGAACAAATTAAATACGGTCGTTGTTTAAATGAATACGAAGATTAACATATCAACGTTGAAGGAACGTTATTATTTAAAATCATCTGCACAATATTTTCAACATTTAAATTAAACAATAAAATTTCATTAAAAAATAATTTTAATATGTATCGGTATAAAAGTTGCAAAATTTAAATATAAATAACAAGCTTATTATGTAATTTAAATATTTTAAAAATTATAAATGCACAGTTGCGTGGCGTCACAGGTATAAAAGAAAGTACCTTTTTTTCATTAAAGTTGTACAAATATTTAAAAATTGAATTTAAAATACACTTCTTTTGAATGTTATAATTAAAATAGCCGATTTTAACAGTAAAAACCGAATATTCGTATGTATAATAAGTGAGAAAGGACACGATCTATTCGCATCACGTCGCGCCAACTGAAAAACATGTATACGCTAAATAAAATTTTATTTATTTAAACATAATCATACATGAAATTAAAGCGTAAATTTTTCAGATTAATGTTTATTCTATGTTAGATTGTTTGAATTAAATTGCCGCATAATAATTAGAGCTATGAAATGTAATTATTATAATTAACTGCGTCAGTCTGACCATACATATTTATTCCACTGCTTTGTAACGTAATATGTAACTGTAATACTATAAAATGTTGTGTGTACATACACAAATAAAATTGAAAAACAAAATATTTTATTAAATCTGTGTAATTTTAAGTAATTTTATCTTTATAAAAAGTATTATTTTACTTCACTAAGCTGATTGAAGTACTAATAGAGAACCATTTGTAGACTACTTAAATTGATAAGAGATAATTTAAAATCGAAACGATTATTTATCCATAACTTGTGTAAAAAGTGGAAGAAAATACGTAGACATATGCAGTGTATTTAATAAACATTAAAAATTTGTTACTAGAAAATTTAGGCATGTGAAACACTTCTTGAATGTGGTCGTCATGAAAGCTTTCATATTTAAAACTGTTAGAAATGTTTATCAAACGCTTCAATGATACGTATTAATATATATATCGACGATTATAAGAGCGAATACTAAGTGCCATATTTATCAAAGAATTATACATTTTATTTAATCCTAAAATCTACAAACACAGGTCAAGTGCGGCAAATAACGTTATGATTAATCAGAAGATAATTTTATAATTTATAATGTCCTAATCTCCAAAGCAGTTATTGTTAATTGATACTCTATACACCTTTACTATAAATTGAATTTATATTTATATTCTTAACAAAAGAAGCGTTATGAATTTTTAGTTTATCAAATTAATGAATTACAACCGTTTGGTAAAACTGCTTTGATGTTGTTCCGACGTCGAGTGGTCGCTATTTTCAAGTGTTTACAGTATTTTTACAGTTGAAAATCATTTCTGGTAGACTTGCAACTAAGCAAATATTTGAATTTGTTCATCCTTTAGATCTGGATAAATGTAAAATAGCAAAACGATTAATATTACTTTATTTTTAGGTTTAATTTTGTTTTAAAATATTGTTTTACATTCAAAGTTATTTTTTATAATTAAAAATGGTTATTGTTTTAAAATTCTTGCCACTAAACTGCAATATTTTCTACAAAATATGTTTATACCGAATACGTAACATTGACTAACATCTTTTACTGATCGGTTTTTATTTTATTTTATTTTCTGTAATTTAAAAATGATATTTTTAAAATAATTTGATCGAAAACAATATTTTCTGCATATTTATTATAAATGGTAAATGAAAAAGAAATTATTATCTAGTTGTTCTTACATTACTGTATTCTTCCTGAAATGGGTACACTATTATATTTTTTCTGCTTAAAAATGATGATATAGTATTTCATGATAATTTCACTTGACATACTTTCCTAATATAAAACTAAGGGTCACATGTATTTTTTAATATATTCTTAGTGAATGTAATAAGGATTTAGAGTATTTGATTTGTTGAGAAATTTTTAAAATGTCGTTCCGGTAATTTCGTCCTAGAATATTAGGAGAGATGGCACGCAACATATTACGCAAGCTTTTCCTGTATGTTATTTCGTAAAAATTTCTGAGATTCAAAAATCTTACTTTCTTTAAGAACTATCACTTATCTGCAGGACAGGTTTCAATCGAAAAGTAGGCATAAGAGACAAACATTTTTCACCCTCACTAATACATATCCTATAAATGAATGCGCTAAAGTGAAATCCGGAAAATGTGTACTAAGATTCATAGGAATGATAAACTTGTGCTTTCCAAAAAACAAAAAAAAGGAGAGATGAAGTGAGAACGAAGGAGAAATAGAAAAGAGATACAGATGAAATGTTAACATACAAGAAAATATTTATTTGACACGAGGTTTTATTTTCAGAATACATTATGTGATTTAAGAAACAATATATATAATCACTGAACAATATGATAAAAATTTTACTAATGAAAATAATACCTCGACGAACATAAAATATTGCCGAACAGCATATATTACAGCTTCGATAATCTCGGAAAAGACTGCATTAAATTTATTTTCGGTCTTTTCTAGGCAAAATCTTTGATCAATTCTGTTTATCCATGACAACAATTTGAAAATCTAAGGAAACAATTTACATTGAATATAGGGTGAAACGAAAATTAGAGATCTATGATTATACGACAGACAATTCACATTAACAGAATAAGTCCGTGTATTTTATAGTAATTATGGCCACTGAATATAACCAATGGAAACTTTTAAAGTTTGAAACTGTCATTTTGATGCCCGACCGATATGGTATCCTTACACCTACTTACCCGACATCGTTATTTAACTATATTCCAATTCTATCTCGTGGTTGAAATGTTTGAAATTCGTTAAAATGTTATCCAGATAAGCATATATAAGCTCCAAATCTAGATAAGCACATATAAAGCTTAACAAATAAGTGAACGTTCCACGTCCATTGATAAGAACGGCACAAATTTTGTCTTAACTCTGTACTGTAAATCTGCATTAATCTGCATTTGGAGACACATTATTTAATGTCTGGATTTTTCCCGTAGGCTTTGTACCAAATTTACCTTCACAAAACCATCTAGTAAGTCACGTACTTCATCCATAGTATTTTTTACTTATAGTATTTTTTACCATAGTAAATTTTTACTTTTCTAGCCTTTTTTTGGAACTGTTTGCTGGAAGTGGAAGTGGAACTGTTCGCTGTTTACAGCGAACAGTTCCACTTCTACATCCCTGCATTGTACAATTTCTTTCACTTTCTTTATAGCTTCAGAATCAGAATCGTCAAGACTTAAGATAAATTCTGATATCTTTCTGTAGTTCTCACAGTAGAAAACAGCTGTCTCAGTCCATAACCCATCTGGTGAATACAGGCTCTGGGGTAATGGTAATTCTGTGATTTCAGGTACAACTGAATTCTTGCTGGTGCTTTCTGTAACAGTTTTTTCATGTTTTAAATTAACTCATTTGCAATCGAGTATTTCAGTCGAACGGCTTCGCATACACCATGTATCAATCAGAAGTGAACTTGCCTGAAAAATAACATTGTACTGTGATTGGTTGGGGCTAGAAGACAGATTTTCGCGACAGCGTTGAATCTTTGAGTGCAGAATTCAGCAAAACTATTGTTTCCATTCTTTGCATTGGTTTAAACTTTAAAATACTTAAAATATTGCAAAATGGGTGCATGTTTTTCCTCCTACTATTCCAAAAAATGAATATCTATGCTAGTGTCGATTTATCATGCCCCATCATTTTATGAAATGAGTGTTGCACCCAAAATTCCAACCCTTAGTCATAAAAAGACAACTAAATTTTACTTGAGATCTTATATGAAAAGAATGTTTTTGATTATTGTTTCTGTTCATTTCATCAAAATAGCCCAGTCTGACGTAGTTTTATGCTTCTTTTATGCATCAAATCTCATTGTGAAGATAGCTTCAATTATGTTAACTTTGTAAATTTTGGTCTTAGTCCTATCCTTAAAAATACTTTAAGCGATACGATTACATGAGAAATTGAAATTTGAATTAATAGCTTGTTTTTTAAAATAGAAGTTTTGAGAGGACTTGCAAAAAGCAAGTCTTCTCAAAACAGATTCATTGCTTTGCGGCTCTCTCATAATGACGCGCAGCTGACTCTCCGAATGAAATTATTTATTGATAGAATTTTATTCCCATAATCAATTGGAAAAAAATGCATTTTGTGTTATAAAAACAAACATAAGCTGTTTTTACGTAATATATTATGTATGACATCTCTCCTGTTTAATTAAAATGGAAAATTAGTTCCATGTTTTTATCTATAAATAATTCCTGGTGGACAAAACAAATGCTTGTCACTTCTCGGTTCGCATAAAACAGATAAATATTCAGAATATAGCGTATCGCTATGTAACCTATTGATTTGCATATTAAATTGCCTATGATTCAATTGGATTGGATTAGTGGGATGAGGCAATGCAACACGTGGACGATCTGCCAAAGGAAAATGCTTACGGGGAGGACTTTTAATGGAAACGTATTCCTAATTATGTGTTAAATAATAAAATATAATTGCGATCACTTTTATTTTTCAACTACACTATGTTAATTTTTTAGAATTTTTAATAAAAAATTATGTATTAGTAAAATAAAGGCATGTACTTTTAAACACTAAAAAAGACAATAAAAGTGTTTTAAATAAATTAGTTTATTAACATTGACCGCACGCCATCTACAAACTTTTAGTGCCAATCTGAGTTTTTATTTTACCTTTACTCCATGACATCAAAACACTTTCCAATCATAACTTAGTGCGGATTAATGAATTTCTCGATAAACCTACCAACCAGGGCTGTTGTGGAGTCGGAGTCGTCAAAAATTCCCCCATTCCTACTCCTTTTTACTTTCCCAACTTGTTATGTATATAAAAAACGAAAAAGTATTTGAATCGTGTCACATTTGACCCTCCGAGTTTTTTGCAAATCTATAAGTTTGGAGATCTCTCGAACCCCGAAAAAAGGAAAAATTCGCGCGCGTATGTTGGCGTCTAATTTGTTTAATTTCTTTATTCTGTTCTGAAATATTAAACAATATTTCAGAATGAGTAAAGTTTAAGAAACAAAATTTGGCACAGTAGCATGTGTATAAAGGGCATTAATGCTATTAAATTTTGGTTCTCAATTAAAGGTTGACAGGGTAGAGACGTAGAAGAGGTCATGTGTCATATCTCCAGTGTAGTCGGACTTAATGAATATTTTATTCGTTGTTAGCATTCACAATCTTATAACATAATGTAACTAAGGAGGGATTTTTCGAAATTCCTCTCGCAGGGGGAGAGGGAGAGAGTTATGGATTACCCTAAAGAACTCCGTTTCTACTGTACTGTACTATTTTAGATGCGGTTTTTGCGCTTTTGCGAAAAATCGACCATACTTTTAGACCCATCTAAAAATTCTCTAATTAGTCTCGGAAGAGAGGGGGACCTAATTCTTGTACCCAGTGAAAAAGGGTAAGATCGGCTATAATCTAATAATCTTAATCTTCGTTATCGTTACTTTTTCCCCGAGCAACATCTGGCTCATCTGCTAGATTATTATTATTATTATTATTATTATTTTATAAAACTTGTCTCTACCCTCAAAATTAAGCTTGAGTTCTAATATGAGTACAGACAGAAAAGGAAATCTTAAAAAATATGAAGATGATATTTACTATGCATTGGAAAAAATAAATCACATTGACCACTCTTCAAATTTGGATGTTAAATCGGCAATAATGCACTATCCAGACATTAACATTGATTGTCACAGCATTGCCACCAACCAAGTTTTAGTAGAGCGTTTATTTTCCGCTCTTAAAATTATTAAATATGATTTAAGAGTTTCAGTGAATGCTGACTTAATATAAGTGATTTTTTTTGTAAGGTGTAATTCTGTTTATAACAGAGATGAAATATAATTAATCAACATGGCAAAATAAGCAACCTTTTTCTTTACCAGTCTAAATGTTATATTTCTTACTCTTGGCTTAGTTTAATGTATCTGTATACTTATATATTACCCAATATACTCGTATATTATATACATTTTTATTAAACTAATTTGTTTGTGTACGAATGTGTTTACTATTTTTATTCATACATGCTTACCAAATACCTACCATTGCCATCATCAAACAAGCCAATAAATGTGAATTTATATATTCAGTAGGTGTGTTAAATTTTAATGTTTAAATTAATTGTTTTTTAAAATCGTTTTATTTTGTATTTTAAAAAAATAATCAGAATCGTCGTCATTATTACTTTCCCGACTGTTATACATATAGGCCTATAACAAAGGAAAAGAATGACGATCAGTCAAAAAATGATTTTCCAGATTTTTACTCATTTGGACTCGGAAAGCCTTGAAACGTAGAGAAGTGCAGAAGCATTCTGGGTTTTTTCTGTACGCACGGATGTTAGAATGTGTACCAACCGATTTAGTTCAACCATTTTG